AAAAGGGTACAAATCGAGTATGTCTATAAACACTTTAAAATACACGGTCCAAATAACTTGTTGCTACATACATTTTTTTTAATTTACTTGATCTATATAGCCACACATTATCGATTAGAAGGTTGTCCTACTTAGAAACACTCTTTTCTTGAATTATTAGGAACAAGTTTATATAAGGTTGAGTGTTTCTCGGATTAGTAGGAAATAATTTATATAAGGTTTCAACCTTATACTATAAGGATTATGTAGGATTATACACAAAATATCCTTTTTGGGTTCTCTCTTCGGCCCTATGTCTCCTATCCCTAGGAGGTATTCCTCCATCTGCAGGTTTTTTCAGAAAACTCCATCTATTCTGGTGTGGATGGCAGACGGGCCTATATTTCTTGGTTTCGATAGGACTCCTTACGAGCATTGTTTCTATCTATTATTATCTAAAAATAATCAAATTATTAATGACTGGACGAAACAAAGACATAACTCGTCACGTGTGAAATTATAGAAGATCTCCTTAAGATCAAACAACTCCATCGAATTGAGTAAGATTGTATTTGTAATGGCATCTACTGTACCAAGAATATCAATAAACTCAATTATTGCAATTGCTCTGGATAAGAGTAAGGCACACTAAAAAAAACCCACTAGAAAAGGTAGTCCCTATGTTGGAAAGCCTCAAATCGAGCATATCAACCTTGAGATTCATAGATATTAAAAAAAAGGTATTTATTATCTTAAAAAAAGTTCATCTTTTAACATATTATATGAACCGTCTATTTTCAACAATTTTAAGTGTCTGTAAATAAATCGGCTTGTTCATCACCATTTTTTAAATTTTAAATTTTATAATTAAAGACAACAATATATTTTCGTACCATCCCAAGGCTTTGTGATAGTGAAGTTGCGTATTCAGTATACTTTTGAGGTGCACCTTGCTTCTATATAAAAAATATGGTTATAACTTTATATAAAAGAAATTTATATCTTAAATGGTGACAACATAAAAAAAAATATGGTTATAACTGTATTTTAAAAAAATTTCTATCTTAAATGATCACAACATAAAAGAGGGAGAGAGGTAAAAGTAGAAGTGAGATCACCGGGTCTTAAGTTTTTTGGGATGAGAGAAGAATTATTTAAGAGAGAGAGTGTGGGGACAACACAAATTACTGTGTAAATTATTGGGGATCTGATCTTAGTAACTTGTGTACAAAGAAACGAAAGGAACGTCTTAAAAAAAGATTATAATTACCAAGAAATTACAAAATAAATGTTTAAGAAAAGGATGTGAAGGAAGAAATAAATGAGAAGTCTGACTCTGCCTAAACAGTGTTAAGTATCTCCTCGGGTGTGCTATGAAGGGGCGGAGGTAGGCCGTACATACCTAAGCCCATTCATTTAAGAACCATTTTCCAAAGTAATTCCCATTTTTATACCTTGTAACATTGTAATATCTAGATTACCCTTCTTTTTTTTTGGTGAAAATTTGGCGGTGATGATTCAAAAAAACGGATCAATGATCCAGATTATACAACGTAAAACTAGTCTAGATTGTCATTTTACTATGAAGAAAAAAAATCGAACTTGATAGAAAAACACGTGCAAAAACAGTGAAATAGCCAAAAACTAGCCTGGATTAGTGAAATCGGTGTTTTTACTCTAACAAAACAATGTTTTACAATAAAAAATCGTTGGTTCTCTTTCTAGATCTGAACGATTTCTTATATATCGATAGAATTGGCATGGGTGACCGTTCCTGAGTTAGACTGAGCGATTCTATGTTGACCTTGTTCATAACATAAAACCAGTGATTTAAAAACAGAATACTAAATTGTTCAAGATTGGATCGAAAATTGGTGGGACTAGTCCATCTCGGACTATATATCCAAAATGGGCTAGGAATCAGCCCCACCTTTGATTTTCAGTATTTAAAATATATATATATTATTCTCTATGTTTTATTTTTTATTGGCAAGTCGATGATACGGACCATCTGATCCTCCGTTCTAAACTGGTTTCCAAGGGGGGCAATCTATCCAACCAATCTGTTCTTTTCAAACAATGGCCAAACCCTTTCCCCTCCCATTACATGAAGAAAGATTATTTTCATCTTTTTAATTGTTCCCTAATACAAAATTTTTATTGACGCATGATTAATCCTTTTTCCTACCTAGGCATATATTTGTATTTTGTTTGTGAGTGTCAGGAATGCTAATTTTAAAATTACCCTCTAAATTAGACACGTATAATGATAGAGAATTTTAGGTGACATTGACCTCTTCTTTTCCCTCAAAAGCCCCAGATGAGCAAAGTGAATCATTTTTCCACTTAAATAAATATATAGGTAAATTTTTTAGAAAGACCCCTTATATATTTAAAAAAACATAACTAATAAGAGATATGCTTTTATATTAAAGTATTTTACAAAAGTTACAAATTATTCATATTTTTTATTTTTCAAGTTTTAAAAATGGATGTGGCATCCATAAGTGGTAGATTTATGAAAACAACATAAAAGCCTCACATCATATGGAAAGAACTTTGAGTACTGAAAATGTCCGTGATGGCTCTAAAATTATTTTTAATGTCAATTATGAAATTTAAAGCTGAAAAGATAGTACGGACCTTGTAAATTGGTGAACACCTATTTTTAGGGGAAATGGACGGTCTGGATAGCGTGTTCCTTCCTTTTTTTAATCAAGACCATAATGTAAGGCCGAGATGATAGACCCTCCAGGTTTCTTTATTGCAACGTCTTTTGTGCAAATGAGCACAAGAGATACAATGGAGTTTCAGCTTTTCCTTGGGCCAAAAGATTCCCAATTCCTACGGGAGTTATACTGTACATCTACTCCCTTGGACAAAACTCATGCCAGAAATATTTTTTTATCCTAAATTTTAGGGGTTAATTTCTAGAACCTAAGGAACAAAAAAAAAAAGGGTGTGGTTTGTATAAGGTTGCAACCTTAAACAATCACGGACCTCTAAATTTTATCATAAATGTAATTTTGATGTAGAACATTTCTAGGATGGCTTGAGAATCTATTTTCATCTTTAATTATAAATTTTTTACTTTTAAAAATAGTTCAAATCAAGTAGATCTATAAACACATGAAAATCTAAAATATGGACGATTCACATAATGTGTTGTAATTCACCAGCTCAAAATCTTTTTTTCTTTCCATATCCACAAATTCTCTCTAAAAGAGTGCCTATACTACCCTCTTGTTGGAGCGTAATGTACATCTACTCCCTTTTGCTAGGAATATGGAAGGAATTTTGTAATTTATAAGTTTGGGAAACACCGAAAGTCACTATTCTCAAATGGAAAAAAAAAGTCTTCTCAAATTTTAGAAAACACTTAATATTCACATGATAATTATTCTCAAAAGGAAAAAAAATCTAAAATTTTGAGTTTTCCAACTCTTAGATCCCACCCTCCAAAAATTGGACGGTCTCTATTCAATATCCGGACTTTTTTTTTTCCAAATGCATAAAGGGTGCAATTAAAAAAAAAAAAAAAAAAATCATTGAATGGACAATATACTCCCATGGGAGTATAATATCTTTGGGGCCCAAAAATATTGACTTGCAACTGATCTTGATGTTCAAGAACTCTAAATCCAAATTTCCCTCTTTGAAAACATTCATCTAAAAATTTTAAATCAAAAAAAGAATTCCCGAAGAAGTCTTTTGCCGAGGGAGTAACTATTTAGTATGCTCCTGCACGAACATTCTACATACGCTCGTTAGTTGGAGAGAAAGATTTCTACATTTGGTAAGGCGGAGAAAGACACGCATTCCATATTTAGTGAGGAAAATGTTTTATTTCCAAAACATGGAATTCTAGGAGAGGGACGTATTACAAAACTACATGTCCTAATGACAAAAGCAAAAAGTTTTTATAAGGTTGCAACCTTAAAATGTAGAATTACAATAGCACTTAAAAATCCATGGTAAATATTTTTTTAATGTTAAAAAAGCCTTCTAATTGATGATTTTTACATCGAGATGTATAAATATAAATAAATAAATAAAAAACGAGTCTTTGAAATAGTGCATCTTGCAACACATGATCTAGACCGTTTATTTTCAAGATTTTCATATATTTATAGATCTACCTGATTTTAATCATATTTGGAGTTTTAAAACTTTATCATTAGATATGAAAATAGATTTTAAGGTAATCTTAATAATTTTTTATACCAAAATTACATGGTGATAAAATTTAGAGGTGGACCTTAATTGGATTGTTCAAGGTTGCAACCTTATAGAAATCACACCCATGACACAAAAAAAAAAAAAAAAAAAAATCACCTACCATAAATGAGACCAATTTCGATATTTATACACAAGAATGGGCAAATTGGTATTCCCTCTGGCCCATATTGTAAAATCCAGAAACCTGCATTTGTTGATTTATTTCCCCTCTCGTGATGGAACACTCGCACCTATTGCGAAGGATAGACCCCCAAGAAGCGCAATTATATATGGCCTTGTTTTCTCTCTCTAAAGATAGCCTTCTCTCCCTCTAGAGTCTACACACGTGTTCTCACCCCATTCACACGCACGCATAAACCCTGCCATGCATTTAATCTTCTCGTTTCCCTTTCCGTTTTGAGCCCCTCCTGGTGCACTTTCGTACTCTAATCATAAATACTTTCTCTCTCTAAACAAACAATCTCCACTTGCATTTTTTCCGCAATTTTTCTGGTTTTTTTCCAGGCTTTTCATTCGCTGATAATGCCTATATATTGCTTGCTCCTCCACCAACTTTCTCTTTCACAGGTGTTTGTAGAGAATTGATTTTGGGCCTCTGTCTCTCTCTCTCCAAATTTTGTCTCAGATGTTCTAGTGGATTAACTGTGGGTCTTTCTCTCTCCTCAACTTCTCTCTATCTCAGATCTTTGTCTTTATCCATCTAAACTGGTTCTCTCTCTAAGGGTCTTGTTTCTCTTTAAAAGCTATTTCTCTCCCTAAAAGCTCTTAGTTTTAGAGTGTTTCTCTCTCATGGAGGGTGTGTGTTTGTGTGAGGAGACGAATGAACAAGGGCTTCCACCTGGGTTCAGGTTTCACCCAACTGATGAGGAGCTCATAATGTTTTATCTTGCCACCAAGGTGTTCAATCCGAGTGGCTCTACACCTGTTAGCATTGCAGAGGTTGATCTCAATAGGTGTGAGCCTTGGGAGCTTCCAGGTATGCTTAGCGAGAGAAAAGTGAGTGGATTATTGTTGCATAGAATTTCTTATTGCGTCTGTGAGAGAGAGATTCAAATAGAACAAAAGCTTGTGGCTTTTGTCTTGGTTTCTGTTTTGGCGAGAGAGAGATTCAACCGGCCGGTGCAATAGTTTAGTTAGGCCGGTTGAACCGTTCGGGACTCATGTCGGGTTAACCGTTTCGGTTCGATTTTTTCTATATCCATTCGAATATAAAAATTTGTGACTTTTTTCTTGGTTTTAAATGTGGAGCTTTGTTGTTGTGAAGTGCCAATGAATGGCTTAGTGAGAGAGGAGAGAGAAAGTGCGTGTGAGAGAGAGAAGGTTTCAAATAGAGAATGAAATAAGGCGTGAGTTTTGTTTAGGTTTTGTTTTGCTGAAAAATCTGCAGTAGTCGTACGGTCTTTATTTAGTGGTTGTGTTTTAGGGAGAGAGAGAAAGCATTTGACAATCAATCTCTTGTCTTTCATTATCAATCGTTCATTTTATCGCTCTTAAAATATTGTGATGGGGTATCAGAGATTGCAAAGATGGGAGAGAAAGAGTGGTATTTTTTCAGCCTAAGAGATAGAAAATACCCAACGGGGCATCGCACAAATAGAGCAACTGACGCTGGTTATTGGAAGGCAACGGGCAAGGACAGAGAAATTCACAGTGCAACCAATGGAGTCCTTGTTGGAATGAAGAAAACACTTGTTTTTTACAGAGGGAGAGCTCCTAAGGGGCAGAAAACCAATTGGGTTATGCACGAGTATCGTCTTCAGGGTGATTTCTCATATCACCTTGCCTGCAAGGTACCCAAAGTTCTAGAGAGAGAGAGTCTGTATTCAATTAAATAAGAGAGAGAGAGGAGAGTGGTCTGGTACTCGTCTAAGGGTGGTACTCGGACTCGGCCAGTAACTCGATGAGTTTTGAGCTTTTTATATTAATAACAAATAAAGGGGCCTGGATGGGATCGGTGTGGTAGCACCCACGCCGTGTTGGGGTTTCAATTCCCATTAATACCTCCGCACTAACATTTTAAAAAATCGAACTTTTAAATTATTTTAGAAAGTTGGTAGCTCAAAATCTATTTTTATATCTAATTATAAAATTTAAAATTTTAAAAATAATTAAAATCAAATAGATCAATAAACATATGAAAATCTAAAAAACGGACGGTATAAATAATATATCGTGAAATACATTATTTTTTAGATTTAAAATTTATTTATTTATTTTCATTGTCATACATCTCGATATTGAGAATGAAGGTTTTTCAACATTAAAGGTACTTTTTCCAGTAGACTGCATTATAAGGTTCCATCTTTATATAAACTTTTTCTTTTTTAAAAAAAGTTGGTAGAAAAAAATTTGAGTGGGATTGCGGACGAGTTATCCAGACCCACCCGAATAAATCACTTGGACCAAGGCGGAGCACCGTAGCCCACTCGATTTTTTAAGCAAATTTACTTGTTCTTGTGACTTTCCAGGAAGAATGGGTTATATGCAGAATATTTCACAAAGTAGCAGCAGCTGAGAAAAGGAACCTGCTCCTCTTAAGGAACAACAACAAATATTTTTTAGACATTGCCTCCCAATTCTCTTTGCCCCCTCTCCTTGAATCCCCAACCACTGAACCAGTACAGCCCTCATCGGAAATCTCACGACCCAGTTTCATGAGACCCCAAGTTGAAGACCCCCAAAACCTTTCTCTCTCTAACCCCAATTCCCACTCTCTCACTAACCATCACTCTCTCTCTACCCCCAACTCTCTCTCTCCCCCGTATTTTAGCAACATTCCATCGCATTTACTGCCCCCCAACCGTGCCCCTTCCCCAATGAGCCTCCCACCTTTCCCTTCCGAAAGCTTTCTCTCTCTAGACCATTCACTCCTAAAATCTCTCTCTAGCCAGTCAGGGCCCTATAGTGAGAGAGAGTATGACATAATACATCGTCATGGCCCTCAAATCATCAGCTCAAGCTGCTCAGACCGTGGAGTCTCAGAGATGGTTAGTGATGTGTCTCCATTGATGGGATTCATTCAGCTGGATGCTAGCACAGTAGGGGTAGCTGCTGCTTCACCCGTGGGTCATGGCTGGATCCTCTGACCCCCTAATCTATAATCTCTCTCTCTATCTCTCATCTATAATCTCTCTCTCTCTCTTCGTTTTACATATGTTGAATCACTGTTGGGTGTATTTATGAAGAACATGTAATAATGTTATATGGTGAAGAATCTTATGTATTAGTGTTCTAGAATCTAGAGTGAGTGATAGACGGAAAGACATTGCTATTTCTAGATGGAGAGAGAGGAATGCGAGTTAATATCATTTTAGGGAGAGAGAGAGATTTCCCTTCCAAAAGGGAGATTGCATAGAGAGATGGGGAGTTGATATGATTCTCACTTCTCTAACCTGATAGCGTTCTTTTTTAAAAGACATTTATAGGATACTGATTTTTAAAATGGACAAGCTTTCTAACCTATGTGTTTTTCCTGTATCTAACTGTCCTTTCCGTTCACGGTCATATCTCTACACGATTTTATTTTTATATTTTTTACAAATTATTTTGACATCGAATGCCGCCACTCTATTAAATTAGTACTTGTAAAATGTAAAAAAATATATATTTTCAATAAAATAAAATGATCATGAATAAAATGATCAAAAAATATATTTTCAATAAAATGATAAAAAAATACATTTTCAAAAAATATAAAATGATCAAAAAATATATTTTCAATAAAATGATATATATATATATATATTTTATATCAAAAAATATATATTTTCAAAAAAATCCTTTCAAAAGGTATTTTCTTCATTATATTTTATCAAAAATAATAATATTTATTTTGCTTTATTGAGATGGCAATATGTATCAAATTTCATATTCATATAATTTGTAGAAACAAAAATAAAAATAAAATATTATGAGGCATCAGATCTTTAGATCAATGGTTAGCGACTCCCTTGACCTAAATTGGACGGCTGAATGGGAAGGGAGAAGCATATTTGGAGAAGTAAAGAAACCTTTCGCTTTAAAAATTGCCGACCAGATTCTCTGTCCGAGTCGAGTTCCCAGCTAATTTAGAGGGGATTGATTTGGTTGTTGGTGACTAAGCGATTTAAAAATTGTCGACATGGGTTGATTTTTATGGTAGATGTGACCAGATTCTCTATCGGAATCACGTTCTAGTCAAATTTAGAGAGATTGATTTGGTTTTGGTTGGTAACGGAGCGAGTTTGTTAGGAAATTGAACATTGTGAATAGAGTAATCCATCAGTTAGCTTTTAAAATATTTTTAACAATTTTCAAATAAAAAAATTCTAGATCTGAAATGAATCGTGGCTTCAAATCAGCCTAATTACAAGCTTGTCCGGATAGTATATCACTCATATCTACTTTTCCAACATTATACATGTCCCCAATTCCCCTCTAAGCCCCTTCTCTTATGCATATTTTCTCTTTTTTAAAATTTATTTAATATTGTTTAAAGTCTCTTATAAATCTCCCATTCATAAATCTAAAGTTCACCTTTTTATTTTGTTTTATAATGTTCTTCTAGATCACCGATTCTAATCAATCTAAACCCAATTTGGATAACTTTTCGATCAATCTAAACCCAATTTGGATAAAACCGATTGGACAATCGGACACGGACAGACAGGTGAGTTCACCCATCCGAAATCGTAGAAAATGTGAATAGAAGCTCCAAACATAGGGGAATCCCATTCCTGAATAGATGATTTATTGGGGTCTGCGGTGATATGATGTGATATCCACATTTAATGGCTGCAAGAAAAAACAAAATCTACGTTAGAGAGAGAAATGATAAAATGTTTTATAGAGTAACTCAAATGATTTGATGTGTATCTTGCCCTCTTTCTTAAAAAATGGCAACTCCAGAAAGGTCACACTTCACTTAAATGTGGTTCTGATTAGATGATTGGATGGGGTCGCGCGAGATTCGAATCGATGCTGATCCTTAGAGCGTGATGGTGAACAGTCACTTATGATGTGACATCACATCATGCATGGTGATCATCCGTTACCATCATTGATGATGGATGGATGGATGTGGCTTCCCGTGTTTTGGGGTCTTCTTGTCTTGATCCTCATGCTGATGACTTGATGAGCATGTGGGCGCCTTGCATGTATAGGCATGTTTGCCCTAGCAGCACCAACGTGGCCCTGGCCCGATTTGGCCCTAAACCGGCCCAAGCATGAAGCTTTGATATCCCTCTCGGCCCACATTGTGACCCAGACTCTAGTTTTTCAAAGTTGAGACAACCGACCTGGACTTGGTTACTTGGCTCATTGCCACCACTTCATGATAGTTGTAGTGTCTTAAAACCTGGAATCCGATTATAAGACTCCCTTTGGAGCCGATAGGAACTCAATTTTGGTCCGACTTAGGTAATTCGTGAGATTTTAACTCGGCTCGGAGATTTTAGATCATGGTGATCTGCCCTTTCACATTGGAGTATGGCCATGAATCCTATGAAGTGGAACATCATGTTGTATTCATATCTCCCAATCACTTTAAACCGACAGATGTCAAATCCTAAAGTTTAGGACGTGTCACTAACACCGCAAAGTTCTTTTTTAACCTTAAGTTTGGCCAATGGCACATCTCCAACTGTTTGACGTTTAATCTAATTGCTACTAGTAGACCTCGTAATACAAATGATAAGTAGTCTTATTTTATACTTTTCTTTTAGAAAATGGTTACCCTACCAAAGATTTAAATAAATCGTGTTAATTTTTTTTTCAAAAGGTTCCATGTAAAATTTTGTTTTATATTTTATATTTTAGATTCATGTTGGAGATTTTATGACTCCTGAAATTTTGAATCCAATATCCATTGTATTATTGTCGTAATTGACCCATAAGAAGATTATCCTTAATATTGATATCTAGTTTAACCTTATCAAAGAAGATGTTGAGATGGATGCGTGGAACGATAAGAAATAATAGAATTTAGGTGTAACACCAATAGGTATTAAGATAAAAGATAATAGTTTAGGTGGGTCGTCATGTGTAGTTAGTTCAAGTGAAAGGCTCAAAAAAAGTAAGAGATAGACCGAAAAAGACATAATCGAAAGTAATGAAAAAAAATACGAGGATTTATGACCTCACTTAAAGTATGGCCCTTAATAGATTAAAATGGTAAAGCAAGATTTATATAACCAACTTCAATTAATTGAAATGGAGCCATAATGATGAGAAAAATGTACCATAAAAACAATACTCTAAATCGATTCGTAGTTGTCTCGAACTATTCAACAAAATCCATAGGTAATTATATGAAATTGAGGGCTGTAAAATCTAAAATCTTGTTTGTCACAAAATCCATAGGTAATTATATGAAATTGAGGGCTGTAAAATCTAAAATCTTGTTTGTCTATGATAGTAAAGTTATAGGGGTTTCAAGGAAGTAACTAAGTGGATTAATGTGGCCCCACGGGAACACCATTAACATGCCTAAGAATGCTTTCTCCTAGGCTTGCCTTGTGGGGACATATTAGGTGTGTCGGCAAGGACGTCGAGAAAAGAAAAGAAGGAAGAAGTGGTCCCCCAAAGGCTTGTACAAAAATGGGTTTTATTTATGGGATGGTTTTTGATATGGACGTTTGATGGATGCGCAAGCACGTTGAACCATGCCACATCTATCAATAACAAATAGTTTTATTTTTGTCTTTTATTTAAAAATTCTATTTATTTGAAATTTGAGATATTTTATTAATACGTTGCACTTAATAAAAATTACTTGAAATATTGCAAGGGTATTTTAATTAATTTATATTTTTTAAAATATTTTTTTATCATATTTATTAGTTGCCCCATTTAAAAATAGATGTAGTTTCCATAAAGTTGCAACCTTAAACAATTCAATTAAGACGCACCTCATAACATGTAATTTTATTGTAAAAAATTATTAAGATTATCTTAAAATCTATTTTTATATCTAAATAGAAAACTTTAAATTCCAAAAATAGTTAAAATCAAAGAGATCTATAAACATATGAAAATCTTGAAAATGGACAGCCTAGATAATGTGTTGCAAGATGTACTATTTTTTAGACTCAAAAACAATTTTTTTTATATATATTCATACATCTCGATGTCGAGATGGTCAAATAGAGGGTTTTTCAACATTAAAACAACCTTTTCGATAGATTTTTTAGGTACATATGTAATTTTACATTTTAAGGTTGCAACTTTATATAAATTTTTCCCTTTAAACATATACATACGCTTTAAATTTCATATACATATAATTTTAAGTAAAAAACTATTTTACAGCCGATATACAATTTATTGTGGCATGTTGAAAGGTCTTGTGCACCCTTCGACCGGTCACATGACATGAACGGGAGACTTTCCCTTTATTTATCGTGTTCTATGCACATGGGTTACTAGCCTTGGATACTAACCCTTTTACCGATTAAAGGGTTATCTTTTTGTAGTAAACATCAAATAACTGAGAATGGGCCTTGTTACCTTCTCTACAACTTATCAAACACTTCTATAACTTTGGTATAATCTAACTGATAGGCTTGAGTTGCCCTGGAGATAATGGCTCACCAGAAAATTCATACTAAAAAAGAAAACTGCAAGCTTACCAGAAATGCTCTCCCAGACAAGCATGGCTGCCATGTGTGTCTGACAATATAAGTTTACATTTTTCTTTAATAGTGTCTGATAATGTAATTTTTTTGTTGTGATTCGATGATTGTAATTTTCCGATATAGTAATAAAATTTTTTGAATTTTGTCAAAAAAAAAAAAAGATTTTAAATCCAAGACATATTTATATTCATGTGTGTTTTACTAGTGTCAAGGGGCACGAAACATTTTGTGCATGTACTAGAGCCGGGGGACAATTAGGGGGGGAGTGTAAAGGCTAGATTTGAACCTAGACATCTTATATTTTGTTGGGAAAAAAAAAAAAAAAGGGATTTAGGCCCTGTATAATATTGCTTAATGGGTCAAAGAATTACCGATTATACTTGAGGATATGGTTTTAAATTTGCATATCAATCAGTTACTTCCTCAAAACAACATTGAAAAATTTCTAAATTTCTGTTTTTGGTGTTGGAAAGCTAGAACGTACTTTGATAATTAAGCTATAAAGTGATACCTAACGCCCGTTTAGGGATAAAATTATTAAAATATCCCTAATTGCTTTGGGCTTCTTAATACCAAATAGGGAAAATTTAGAAATTTTTGTTTTTT